ATGGGGCCGGAGAGGCTGTTGGCGGAGAGGTCCAAAGAAGAGAGGTTGGCCAGGTCGCCGAGCTCCGGGGGGATGGGGCCAGAGAGGTCGTTGGCGGAGAGGTCCAAAGAAGAGAGGTTGGCCAGGTTGCCGAGCTCCTGGGGGATGGGGCCAGAGATCTTGGTGAATCGTATTTGAAGGTACTTGAGGTTGGTCAGGTTGCCGAGCTCCGGGGGGACGGGGCCGGTGAGTTGGAAGGAAGATATTACGAGGGCGGTAAGGTTGGTCAGGCTGCCGAGCTCCAGGGGGATGGGGCCGGAGTCACTGAGGTTACTGATGTAGATAGAAGTCTGATTCCACAGGGGGCCCTTGACCCTCATGCCGATCTCCTCGATAGTCAACGAGTGGGCAACACTAATGAGCCGGCACCCAAAGACGGTCACCAGGATCAGCAACCCCACACACAGAGTCCGGGCACCCATGGCTGTGGAGGAGCTTCACAAATCAGGAGTCAACCTGCAAGAAATGAAATTGCCGGTCAAAGTGAGGTTTGCTCGGCCTTCAATAGTCGTAGGATTCTTCATTTCGGATATTCTGCCATTCGTTCTTGATGCCAAGCATCGATTCAGACATACAATGTTATCCTCTGGCAAACAGAGGGACAAAAGATCTTCCCCCCGCACTAAGTCTCCGACTCCTACTTTTGCAAACTGTGCCTCTTCGACACAAGTGCTCAGCATGGAAAGCATCGCAAAATCAACCAATGTAGGCAGATGCGATATTAATACGGAGTTCCGAGCTGGCAGTAGAAATGGCAAAATAACAATAAGAATATCAATGACAATAGATAGAATGAGCGTTGGCCGGGCCAACTCAAAGTCGTATGTGAGTGCCACAGCACCTCAGATGTCACTCTTCACTAATACAACCCGCTCCAGCAATGGTAAGAAGATCACCACAGCCAACAAAACCTGACATGGCCAAGGCCTAGCACCTAGCGTGCACGTGCTGATCCGTGACGAATAGTTCTGGCCTCGCAGCGGCATAAATGGAGTTAGCAGGGCTTATGGAAACCCAGTATTTGGCCAGCTGCAATCCAACAACGGCCCAACAACCACCAAGACGCACCTCTCAATATTGCTTAAAGGAAGGTTTGATTCAGTACATACATCTGATCATGGTTGAGCAGACTTTCAAGTTTTGATCCAAGAAGGGTTCTTCCTATCACACACAACAGAGACATGAAAGATCAAACCAGCTTCCAATAGTATTTGCATCCTGCATTGCACGCGCAGCAGCAAAGACATGGGCTTCCTTGTGACCACTGAGGTTAGCAATGCATAACGCAACCCAGCGTTTGGCTAGACGAAATCCAACAACCGCAATCCAACAACAGCCCAACAACCACCGGGGCGCACCGTTCATTAGTGCTCCAAGGAAGGTCTGATTCAGCATACACATATAATGGTTGAGCAGACTTTCAAGTTCTGATCCAAGAAGGGTTCTTTCTGTTGCGTACAACAAAGACCTGAGAGTTCGAAGCAGCTTCAAAAAGTTGCAGCATGCATAATACGAGCAGCAGCGAAGACATTGACAAACCCCGAGTCGACTGAAAGCACAGAGGATTGGACGGCCACAAATGGATCTCAATGTCAGAAATCTGGGCAACTTACGGTGATCTCCAGAATCACCGATTCTTGGGCTGCAGAGGGGTCCGCAAATGCCAAGAGACGTAGTAGTAGCGAAATCAGGGCTCGTAGAAGGCTTTGGACACCAGCTGCTGAAGAGGATGTAGCCGCCAATGAATTGAATCGATGGGACTAGCATGTTTACAGGTTCCTTGCGCCCACTTCGTTCTGTCTGGTTGGGTTTCTTACTAGGACTGCCAACGACAACTGGGAAGTGTCTTTAATACGGTATAAACACCGTATTGAGACCTCGCTTCCAAAGCCTTCTGCAATGCCGAGCAGCCGCCATGCGCCAACCAAACAGATGTGCAAAGTTCTTTGGCTCTGGACAGTGTCAACATTTGCATTTACCGTCACAGCTGGGGGAGCAACGTGGGTGCTGAGGTCCCGCTGACGTAATAGGCGATGCATAATCACATCCACCACGTAATAGCCTCGAGGATCTTTGAGTGGTTCGTACCTAGCGTTGACTTTGTATCTAACACTTGCCTTTGAAGTTCGACCGGGATCTGAGAAAGTCAACAGCCAGCCTTGCAAGCGTACCCCGTAATACCTATGATATGACCTATCTGTCGACATACGTCTGTCGACATGCCTTGTCAGGATAAAGAGCATCTTTGGGTCGGGAAGCAGGGACCATTCTGCCACATGGAAGCTCGTCGTCAATTTTGGAGTCTGTTTGCCGAGCCCCGTCACAAAACGGCATATAAGAGAGATCCAATATCGGCCGAAGACGCCGGAATGCGTAGGTATGGATAATAATCGGCCCGGTGAAAGCAGGTTCACGCCGGCTTTTGGCCGAGTTCAAGTGGGAGAGAGACTATCTATGAGAGAGACTATGTCATATGATTATTTTCGTTTAGTTGTTCACTTTGCTATTTCTCTCACAAGCAGAGGGTGTCCGAGACTAACCATTATCGATCTTGCTTATATTATTCTATTGCCTTCAATTTCACCGCCGACGGTAGCCCGTAACTTTGATTTTCGACCGGGCTTAGGCTGGTTGTATACGTATACGGAATATGGATACCAGTTTTGCCTCAAGACAGCAATGCACAGATGGCAACATTATTATGGCAACATTTTTTGGCATTCACGTCGGGCCTCGGAGCATTTAATGTAATTCATGTGCCCATTTGACCACCGCGTACGGGCGAAAGTGGACCAACAAACACTTCCAGTGACGGATCTGTGACCTGCGAGGCGAGTCTTCCCTGGCAAGATTCGAAGCTAGGCATGCTGCGAACGCGACGTCCTGCTTTTACGAAGAAATCCTAACTGCAACTTGTCCCCTTCGGCGAGTTGGAAATTCTTCGAGCACCTGCCCTCGAGCTACCGCGCTCTGGTGATGCTGTGGCATTTCTTGTGACAGCAGCGGAGCATTCGTGAGGCCTAAGCCCACAGCTCGCAGTCCACCGCCCTGTGGCCACGGCGGAGCGCAACATGGGGCCGCATGGGAGCACTTTGAGTGTGCTTGCAAGCATACTCGGAGCCATGATATTGCTGTCAACCAACTTTCTGCCTGCGGAGGCCAACATCCTCATCAACCCTAAAACCCATCATGTTGTCATGGGCCTGCTGATTCAGCACAGCCATCTGCAACCGCATACCTCCTCCCTTTTCGGGTTTGCTTGGTGCTTATCGTCTGACAGACTTCAATAATATCTTTTTTTTCGGCCCCGAACAACTCGGGTGATTCATGGTGACACCGTTTGGTTCAGCCAAATGCCCTTGCTGGTGGACACTTCTATGTCACGCCTCTACTCTTCGCAGCTTCCCTGACATCGTCCAGCACTTCTGGATTGTCCGACAGAAACTTGGTGAATATCCAGAATCCTACGAGTCCCACGACGCAGATGAATGCAATTATGCCCATCCACGAGCTGAAGATACCCTTCACCATACCCGTGACGGAATCGACCATGTCGGCCACTCCTTTTACCTGTTCGGTGTTCGTCTGAGCGACCTTGTTCTTGAAGTCGTCTAGAGCCTTTGCACTGGCGCTGTCGCTGGTGAGAGCAGAGACCATAGCTTTGGACTCGATGGTCATCTCGACCCCATCCACCTCATTGTAAGCGAGACCGATAGCTGAGATGTTTAGAATATTGCTGCTGGTCAGGTTGCTGACGATCTCGTTACAGACGTCCGTCGTGAAGTTCTTCTGGACGAAGTTCTGAACGTCCGTCTTGTAGTTTTTGTTGGTGGTGCTCCCACCGCCGAGTATGTTTACGAAATCGCCGAGGGCGTTGGTGACGCCATCCGTCGTGCTCGAGTTGTTCTGCGTCAGGTCCGAAGTCATCTGAGTCTGTAGGTCCTTCACGTCCTGACTGGTC